TTTTTAGTGAACATCAGGAAGGTAGGATTGATCACAAAAGAAAAAAGTTCAAAAATTTGGTGTCTCAGGCAAAATTTTTTTTTTTTATTTGGCGAATTTTTCGCTCCTGATCGTATTGATTCAAAAATTAATGAAGTGGTTGGTTTTGTTCAGTTTTCATATCCATATAACGGATTAGTGTCTCTTGGAAACAGTGCGGCATTTGGAACTGGTTGAATTGATTTTCTTAAGGTGAGATAAATTAGAAATTATTTTTAAAGTTTTTTCTTTTCAGGGAATTGCACACCCGAAAACCGTGTAGTTTTGGCTCAGGAGCTACGCCAAGATCCAGAAAGTCACAGAGACTAAAAAAAAAGTTGGAACAGTTCCCTTACTTAAAAAGGAATTTGCTTAAGGGGGTAGGGCTTTTTTTCGGTTATGATTTGCCGCTGGTTTGTTGCTGGTGTTTCGTAAATCACTTTTAAAATATTTTTTGTATTGCTGTTAGACTTACAGATCTTGAGACTCTAAATTTAGTTCATCTATATCCCAATTCCTTTAGCGTATTCTATGGCCAGCTTATCAGAAGAATTTGAAAAATTGGACTCTAAGCAAAAGAAGCAAAAGAAACGGATTTAAATTTTCCACCCCTAAGAATTCCAGCCGTTTCAAACAGTTGGCACTAGATAAAACGGAACTATTGCGGTCGTTTTACACTGTGTGGTTTATGAGCAATTTAAATTCGAAGTCATCAAAAAGTGTTGATGAGGTAACCTAATTCTTTACTTTTTAAGTGGTTATCATTAATCATTATTGTAGAATATCTCGCCACTAAAATTTCAGCTTAGTGATCTCGTATCTAAGCTTGCAAGGTCACCAAGAATTGAAAAATGTTTCACAAAGATTCCGGCAGGTGGCATTAGAGCAGAAAGAATTGATGATGCCGAAAACCTTTCTCGTAAATGTCGCCTCACTTTGAGCAGGTGGGCAAGAGCCATAACAGAAGCTCGTGATTGTAATTCAGGAGATGAAGAAGATCCAGTTGAGGTAATTAAACTAGAATTCAAGCGTTCAGTTTTCGTGTAGCTTTCTTCTCTCCGAACATTTTAAAGGAAGGACTAGATTGTTTTCTACTCTGTGGATTAATTTATTACATTCTATATTAACAGCTATTTTCAGGTATGGAACAAGACACTCATAGAATTGGAGTCTAACAATGATATTCTAAAAGATGCTAGTCGCAGTAAATTTCGTAGTTGTAAAAAGTTATAATATTGTTAGACAAAGAAAGTAAGTGACTAGGAGCGTCACCGTATTTCGATTTCAAGAGAAGCTCTTAAAACACGACGGTTGAATATTTAGCCTTATTGGCGTAGTAAATTTTTGAGTTACAGTGAAATGCTTTTGTTTGGAATCGGTACTGCGTAAAAAGTGGCTCTCTTTGTATGAAGTTGACTACCGCAGCCGTCATCGGA